TCCACTTAATATTTGATTTTTGCTTCGAATAGATCTCCTCTCTCCTGAGCTAGTTATCCAACTCATCTTTGTAATTCTCAAGTTCCAGATATTTAGCATTACTATACTGTTGATCCAGCTCCATCTCAGCTGCCTTGACTCTCTGTTCTTGGGCCTTAATGTTTTCAAAAATATTACCAAAAACCTCCTTATTCCACAATTTAATATGGGCTTTTAAATACTTCAGCTTGATAAACAGATTGGCCATGGGGTTCGCAGAGTAAAAACCATTCCATTATCCAGCAATAAGAGAAATGAAACCCTCATGATTATACCACATATCCTGAAATATGAAATAAGAAACTCTTCTTTGCACTGGATCATCCTTAATTCTCAGAAACAGAGGATTGTGGTCAGAAGTCCCCCTGGCCCAATGCACCACATCCAAGCTGTCAAACCTCAAATTCCATTCCACATTAATTAAAGCTCTATCTAACTTTTGCAACATCCTTCTATGCCCCAGTCTATTGTCACACCATGTGTATCTGTTTCCACTGAATCCAGCATCCATTAGTCCCCTTTGGTCCATGAAGTTCCCAAAATCCTCCATGGCAGATAAAGATGGTATAGCACCGCCCTTTCTCTCATCAGAACATAAAATGGAATTAAAGTCCCCCACCATAATCCAGGGGGTGCTTGGAGGGATATTCACCTCCAAAAGGTGTCCCCATAACTCCTTTCTGACTATTTGGTTACAACTCGCATACACCACAGACACCCCAAAGACCACCTCATTCAAGAAGGTCAATTCCACCGTCAAAGCCTGCTCATGAGTAGTAATAACTCTTATGTTCACTCTATCATCCCACAAAAGCCAAATATTCCTCTCTGCTAAAGGATTGAAAGAGAAGTGGTTCAACCCTATACTTCTAACAAAAAGATTTAATTTAGTAACAAGCAGCTTAGGTTCCTATAAAGCCACGAAACATACATCATGCAATCTGATAAGTTTCTTTAATCTCCTCCTTTTGGCAGCTTTCTCTGCTCCCCTCATGTTCCATGAAATCAGATTAATCATGAGTTTATAGGGTGGTGTCCTCCACTGGAGCTTACTCCATTACCAACATCTTGTACATTAAAAGAGCTATCTTGATCATCAGCCTCTTTTACTATAATTCTCTGTCTTCTGGAGCTGGCTTTATCAGAAAAGTACCCCTTGTCTGGGGGCAATCTCTCATTAACCAGACCCATTTGATCATCCAATGTATCCCCTCTTCCTCTCCTTATATCATAATCATGCTCAACTAAAAAAGAGGAATTCAAAGAAGGGGCATAGAGAGCATGACACTCCCCCAGATTCTCTTTAGGTGTCCCACACCACTCCATTTGGTTTCTTGCAATATTTTCATTGGACATTAACACATCATCATCATCTTCCTCCCACACAGCCAGTTCCACTCCTAGATTATAATCACAATTATTAATGAAAGGATCAGGGGAGGGAGAGGGCAGTGTCTCCAGACTGACCCCAACAACATTAGGAGTATCCAATTTGCTTTGTACCAATGGGCTTGACACTATATCTTCCAACATCTTGCTCACCCCCATATCATCATTCTGCAATCCCACCCTATGCTGAGCTTCCCTCTCCATAGAAATGGGGGCACATTCCTTTTGCTGACTCTTTCACATACCCTCTTCGATTTGCTGTTGATCACAATCACCAAGGTTTACTTGGATAGACAGACTTTGGTCAATTCCATTAAGCCCATCCACCAAATCATTCTCCTCATTCAATGCTGCAAATGCTATTTCCTTTTTCTGGATTCTTCTTAGATTGTTGCCCCTTCTCCTTTTCATTACTCACATCAACATCCTCATTTAACTCATTCAAGGCCTCAAAGTTATTCCCCACTCTTGGACCTTGGATAACAATTTTAGGTCTATATTCTCTCCTAGGAATTCCTTTCTGCACATCCCCAGTAATAGCTTTCCCTTTCCTGTTTTTCCACCCATCATCATGGCTCTGGCCATTCATTTTATCAGTTTTCTGCTCAACAGTGACCTCCACCCCTTCCTTCTTCTTTTTTCAGCATAAGGATTCATCATTACCATGTTTCAGACAAGCAGGGCAATATTTGAATTCCTTCTCATATACAATCCTTTGCCATCTAGCACTTATGCCCCCCATATCAAGCCAGAACCTCTTAGGATTACTAGCTAGTAAATTCATTTTCACACATGCCCTTGCCACTCCAGGCCTAGAAAGATTTAAGGTGGCATTATCAATCACCAAAATCCTACCAATGGGGCTTAGTATGTCTCTCAGGCTTTCTCTATTAAAAAGATAGATAAGTAGACCAAGTAGAGACACCCAAACTGGGACTAATGGAGGTTCGATTCCAGGGAAAAACTCTGGAAACCATTTAAAGAAACGGAATAGAAATCCTTCTATGTATGTAGTATCCTTAAGCCAAACTTTCACATAATCTTCGTAGTTGGAAAATCTAATAAGAATATGCCTTGGGTCTAAAGCGCCTACCGTAAAATCCCCTTTCAACAGCCACCTAGAGTTAATAAACTCCTTCACAACACCAAGTGATGGCTTACCATAGGCACATTTGCCTATCAAAGTGAGGTTGAAACCCCTAGAGAGCTCTTGAGTTTCATCTGGAGACCAGTACATCCTTGGCTCCCCATTGTTGAAAACAACCCTTTTGGCAGGCTTAGACGGAATTGTAGAGATAAAAGGAACCGATGTGACNATAGGCACATTTGCCTATCAAAGTGAGGTTGAAACCCCTAGAGAGCTCTTGAGTTTCATCTGAAGACCAGTACATCCTTGGCTCCCCATTGTTGAAAACAACCCTTTTGGCAGGCTTAGACGGAATTGTAGAGATAAAAGGAACCGATGTGACAGTATCCGGTGCTATCTGAGCCGGTTGGCTGTGTTGGGTAGTCGAAGCGTCCACTGGAATCTGGCTTCCCTGCCCAGGCAACTGGGTTTGTAATGCTGGTAAATCTCGATTCATCAGAGGAACATGAGGCAGCGGAATGCTAGAGGGAACATTAGGGATCTGGAATACCATTACAGACGAAGGCATTTGAATGTTTGTAGAGGTGCTCACAATCGAAGGAAAAATCGATGGTGAAGTGATATTCGAGCATGACTGGTTATGGTACAACGGAGGATGTAGAGGCATATGGAAGGTTTTAATACAGCCCAAAGGATCCACAGAGGGGGGTGAAAATGTTGCTGAAACAGACGGGGAAGGGAGAACGATTTCCTTGTTCGTGGGTTGCTTGAACAGTGAGGCAAAGTTATTGGTTATGTCTGGCGGTTTGGGTGGAAAATTCAAAAAATTTTTTGGGGTTGTGATGGGAATCCGAGAAACATCAGGAGGCTTTGGTGAAATTTGGCTCAAATTCTGGACAGAAGCCATAATAAATGCACAAATCTGTCAAAATAAAGAAGAACCAATGGAAAAGAGTAAAGGTAGAGAGAAGTGAGACTTTCTCTCACTAGAAAATGGAAAGGTTGCCTCTCCTCCTAAAACTGAAGNGAAAAGAGTAAAGGTGGAGAGAAGTGAGACTTTCTCTCACTAGAAAATGGAAAGGTTGCCTCTCCTCCTAAAACTGAAGTTATTCTNGCAAAGAGTAAAGGTAGAGAGAAGTGAGAGTTTCTCTCACTAGAAAATGGAAAGGTTGCCTCTCCTCCTAAAACTGAAGTTATTCTTTAACTTGGATCTTGAACAGTAGAATAGGCCAGCCTTATGGATATCTGGCTATTAATTAGGGCAAAATTTAGCCCGAGTATTCAAGCATTCCTTTTATCATCTCAAAGATAAACCTTCAACATTTTTCTCAAACCTTTTCACACACCCAAATACCATCTGAATAGAAGTGATCAACAACCAATGGCAGACATTGCAGTATCCTTTCTGCTTGACCAACTAAAGCCTTTCTTGCTCGACGAGGCAAGACTTTTAGGTGGTGTTCGGGAAGAAGTTGATCAAATCAGAGTTAAGTTGGAGCACATGAATGCCTTCCTCAGATTTGCCGAATCAAAAGAAGAGATTGATCAACAGCTCCAAGTTTGGGTTGAGCAAGTGCGAGAAGTTGCTCACGATACCGAAGATGTTCTTGATGAATTCATGCTCCAATTGGCGCATCATCAAGGGGCTGGATTCTATGGTTTTCTTCGTTAGATTGCTTTCTCTATTAAGAACCTGAAAGCTCGCCATCGGATTGCTTCTGAAATAAGAAGAATCAAGTCCAAAGTCGACACCATTTCTAAGAGCTATGAGACATTTAAGAGCATAGATCAAGGCTCAAGCTCTGTTATAAGGAGCAACACTCGGCATGATGCTCGAGGTGATGCGCTTCTAATAGACGAAGCTGAGCTTGTGGGCATCGACAAGCCAAAACAACATCTTATTAGTTGGCTTCTTGATGGTGATTCTGGACTCAGAGTGGTTTCGGTGGTGGAAATGGGAGGGTTAGGAAAAACCACACTGGTCAAGACGGTTTTCGAGGATGGACAAGTGAAGACACACTTCCAAAGCCATGCTTGGATCACTGTTTCACAATCATTTGATACCGTGGAGCTCTTGAAGAGAATGATTAACGAACTTGCAGTGCCTCCAATAAAGGAACCTGTGGGTGTCGATCAATTGAAAGAATCCATCAAGCAATTCCTCCAGGGAAAAAGGTACGTGATTGTGTTAGACGATGTATGGACTATAAATGCATGGGATGACATCAAGTATGTGTTGTCTAACAACAATTGTGGTAGTTGTGTACTGCTCACAACGCGTTTACTTGATGTAGCCCATGCTTCTACCTTTGAGTCTCATGGCCATGGCCATGAAATAAAGCCCTTGTCCGATGAAGATTCTTGGGCTATTTTCTGTAAAAAAATATTCGAGGATCAATCTTGCCCTAGACATTTAGAATAAATTTCACGAAGTATAATAAGAAAGTGTGAGGGATTACCACTTGCAATTGTGGCAATTGGTGGCATGTTGGCTTTAAAGGACAAGTGTATAATAGATGAGTGGGAGATGGTTCTGCGCAATCTCAATGTTGTACACAAAGGTAAGGACAAAATTGAGAGAATGATTAAAATACTGTATCTCAGTTATTATGATCTACCTTTTCCTCTCAAAATTTGTTTCTTATACTTGAGTATTTTTCCTGAGGATTTTGAGATTGAAAAGGGCAAAGTGATTCGACTATGGATTGCAGAATGATTTGTGCAAGAAAGGAAAAGACTAACTTTGGAAGAAGTTGCCAGAGGTTATTTCAATGAACTTCTCAATAGAAGCTTAATCCCAGTGGTGCAGACTACAATAGAGGGAAGACCTAAAGCATGCCGAATCCATGATCTTCTACGTGAAATTATTCTTTCCAAGTCGAGAGAGCAAAACATTATTACTTTGGCCAGCGAACTAGATGCAATATGCCCAGAAAAAGTCCGACGCTTAGTAATACATGATCCCTTACAAGATGGACAAGAAAGCAAGTGTTTTCATAGACTTCGGACTAGCAAGTGTTTTCATAGACGTGGTCCTAAGTTGCTTAAGGTGTTAGATTTAACAAATGTTGTTGTGTTGGAAACATTCCCAGATGAAGTTTGTGAACTACTACATCTTAGGTTTCTAAGCATGAGGAATACATGGGTGCGTGTTATTCCCAAATCCATTGGAAAGCTTCGGAACCTAGAGACTTTGGATTTGATAGGCACTAAAGTGGTTAAGTTGCCTGTCGAAATAGGAAAGCTTCAAAAACTTTGACATCTCCTTGTGTATGCATTTTTTTTTTTTGGGGGGGGGGCGACGAGGGGTTTAAAACCTTAGCAGAAATAGGAAATTTGTCATCCCTCCAAAAGCTTCTTGGAATCGAGGCAAACCACAATATAGTGGACAAGGTAGGGAATCGTACCCAACTAAGGTCTTTAGGCATTATGGATTTAAGAAGAGAAGACGGAAGGGCATTATGCTCATCCCTAAAAAAGCTGATCAACCTTCGCTCTCTATTTGTTCAGTCCGTACAAAGTGATGAGATCATTGATCTAATGTCTTTAACTTTGCCTCCTCCATTGCTACAAAAGCTACAGTTGAAAGGACGTCTAGAGAAGTTACCACATTGGATTCCTTCTCTTCATAGCCTGGTGAAAGTCAAGTTATGGTATAGCAGGGTAATGGATAGCCATCTACAACGCCTACAAGATTTGCCCAATCTCCTAGAACTTGACTTCAGGTGCGCTTATGATGGAGAAACATTGTGTTTCATGGCCGGAAAGTTTCGGAGGCTCAAGCGGTTATCGCTTGCTATGATGGAAAAGTTGACAAGGGCTACAGTGGAGCATGGCGCCATGCCTAATCTTGTAAAGCTATCTATTACAGGATGTGATAACTTGGAGGAGTTGCCATCAGGAATTGAACATCTAATCAATCTTCAATTGCGTTATCCAGGAGTAGCACTTCTTCATGGGTTGACACCTTGCAGAATCAAGACAAAGAAAGTGACGATTGGCGAAAAATTGCACACATTCTGAATGTCAAGTTTCTTCGCTACATTGATTTGGGATACAAATTTTGATAAATGATTTGGTAACATAACATTGATTATGTACATTTAAGTATGATTCAGATAATAAAGATATGGAAAAGGTACTTACCATGTTGGGATCTTTTCATGATTGTCAATTACCTTTCGCCTCTTTCAGTTAAATATTTTGTTATGAAGGTGATATCACATCATCACTTAAGCATTGTATTGTGGCCCGATAAAATCTGTACAAATAATACATTACCCCATACATCTGCATTCTTTTTTGAACTAAGGATAACATCTGCATCTGCATTCAATTAATTCACATAAAATCTGAAGAATTCAACCCTTCGATGTATTCAATTTCAAAATCAAATCTGCCATGCAATTGGCATTACATAAGCTAAAAAATTTACACATCAACTCTCATTTTTCTATTACTTGTACAAAATATCCACATTATGGCAAACAGGGTCATTAAATCAGGAACTAGCACCTGCCAAGCCTCAAGGATGTCTGCCAAGCCTCAAGGATGTCTCTGGTCGTAGGAGTCCCGATTGTGTGTCAATGACTAGCCATCGTAAAGGAAATTACCCAAGCCAATCCATCCTACTATAAGATTTTCTCTACCAAGCAAGAGGGGTATAACCACTGTAGGATCATTACTGCATGCAATAACTTGCTACAATACCACCTCCAACACTACAAGGTGTACAGGCATGAGAATTGTAGTACTATAATAAGTAAAATATAATTGGTAAATGAATCTAACTCATGGAAGTTTTTAGAATTTGAACAAACATGTTGTATGAATACTTGAAATCGAAATCAAGTCAAATTCAACCCATTTATGAAAAATTAGAGCAGGAATGAACTTCAATCAGATATTAGTCCTTTCTTCATAATATAATTAGATTTCTAACCTTCAACGGCCTCTCTTGGAGTTTTGAAGCCTAATTCAATGTTCTTCCGGTACCGATTCCCTCCCTTTCCAGGCCTCTTTCCCTTCCCTGACTTCTTGGAGCTGCACACCAGTGTCCCACTACATTCATCACTCAAACATAGATATTCACTTATTTTTCATTTGTATATCTTATTAGAGGAAAACCTTGGGCTGCGTCAAGAAGGCCTTCTCAGTCTGAAACCCAAAGAAATCATAATTGATAAGAACCCTCCCCCCACACACATGGAGGAACTATGTTCAAGTATTTTAATGGGGTGTAGTAATTTACTAAACAGAGCAGTTTCAATACAGATTGACTAAAAAGGAAAGCTTGATGTTGTCTTACAAGAGAGAGATCACACTAAAAACCCTAAAAAGAGTAAACAAACATTAGTGCATAATAGATAACGAGATTATGTTAGATATGAAAGTAGCCAAGCATAGGAAAAAATTGAACTAGAGTTTGCAACCAAGAGGAGAAAAAATTGAACCAAACCCGCATATTTTGGAAGGTTTTGGTTTCTTACACAATCTGATTCTCAATCCACCGGACCGGATACAAGGATTGATGGAAATCTTCTGAATGATCAAACCAGAGGTCATACCTGTCTTCTCTCTTCCTGAGTAATTTCTTGGCTTTAATTGCTGATATCAAATTCCTCGGCTCAGGGCGTCGCTCTCCAAAAAATCAAAACAAAGGAACATGTGGAATTCTAAATACTACTTCTTTACGAAAACAATCAATAGTAGCATGATATGCTGACAACCAATCCATTCCTAAAATCACATCAAAATCCTGAAAGTCAAGAGGTAACAGATCTGCAGATAATTCTCTATTACCCACTTGAACTAGGCACTCCCTATATACTACCCTGGTCGTCACACAGTCACCCGTTGAAGTAGCTATAGTCAAGCCACAATCTAATGGAGTAAGTCGTCTATTAATATGCATGGAGAATGACAGTGATATAAATGACCGTGTGGCACCTGAATCAATCAGTACTCGTGCCTACTGACCAAAAATAGACATCATACCTATAACCACTCCCAGGGTCACCTGAGCATCCCGCTGGGTCATCACAAAGACACGTTCACCAACCTCAGCTCCGCTCGGTCCACTACCACCAGCACCACCACCTCCAGTATTGCCTCCTCGTCCTCGACTCTTGCCACTTGCTGCTCCTCAAGACACCGTAGGTGCACTGCCTATCGATGAACTCTGGGTAGAATATTGTGGACAATTTCTCTGTATGTGTCCTTCCTGACCACATAGAAAGCAACGCCGTGACATAGCAACTCCTGATCCTCCCATAGGACAGTTCCGTACAATGTGCCCAACCTACCCGCAAGGGTAATAGGTAACTGTACTCCCTCGAGACTATCCCATCTCTCGACCCGATGCAAAGGAAAATGATCCACTCACTTCCTGTCCTCGACTTTGAAATGGGACTCCTGACTTCTTCTTACTTGCACCCTTCGGAAACATTCCTCTCCGGGCCCTGCTAAGGAAACTTCCCTTGGAACTTTGTCTAGTTGGCTCATATCTTCCTAATTTTGTCTGTTCACTTGCACTTTCTATTTCTTTCAAATCAGCTTCCACAATCATGGCTTTGTTGTATAATTCTGAAAATGTGGTCAACTCCAACATCGAAATACGAGATCTAATATTGTAATTTAGCCCCATCTGGAATCTTTTGCATCTTTCCCCCTTATCTACGACAATAGAAGGCATAAATCTAGACAAAGTACTAAATTTACTCTCATACTCCAACACTGACTGATTCCCTTGCTGTAGATGTAAAAATTCATTTTGTTTTTGGTATCGATAACTCGAGGGAAAATACTTCTGGTCAAAAGCATCTGTAAACTGCCGCCATGTAGGAATT